TTTTTTGATCCTGGTATCAGGCTGACTCTGCATGGCCATTGCTTCTTTATCCAGTGCTGATTTTGTGCTTTGCTGTCCTATTCACACAAAAAACACATTGAAACTTTGTATAACCAGATTGTTGACCCAACAACATATGAATGACTTTTAACTTTCCACAAAGTAGGCGACCATGTTCTTTATATTTGATATTATTGAGAAGAAGTTTGAGATTTTTGTATGAATGAGCAATAGGAACAGATGCATATATGTTACCATTGTGAAGGAGAACACATTTTAGACTTCTTTTGGAGGAATCAATGAACAATTGCCACTCACTTGGTTTATAAACTGAAGCTCCGAGCATTGGTATTAATTCAGCAATATTGTTGCAATAAACCAGTGAATCTTCTTGCAAAAAGTATGGTATAAACTCTTTCTCATAATTTCTGTACCAGTAAAATGATGTTCCTGGAAAAAGTAATTTTTTAGCCTGAAGTCTGGACCCCAAAATCTCTGAAGAATCCTTTGGAAGGCCCAAATCTCTCACCAAATCATTAAGTTGCAGTACAGCAGCTGTTTCAGATTGAATACAATCCCTATCATCATTTCTAATGACATCAGATTCAGACTCAGATGAAACAGTATCAAGAGTCTTCTGGCAGAGTAGGTACAGGTACATCAGGTCCATGAGCAACAGGTCTTATAGCATATTGAAGGTTCGGATAAGATAATTCCTTTTTATTTCAAGTATTTTAGCCTTGCGCATTAGATAAGCAAAAATTGCAGTCATCTCTGTGGTTTCTAGGCTCACACCAGACCACTGGAATTGCAAAAGGCAAATACTTTTTCTTACCTTTAGTCCATTGTCTCAACTCTTTGATGCAAATGGTGCAAACTTTGTGCAGAGCCCATGATTTGTCTCGGTATCCAAGTTTTACTCCAAAGTACACATAATATGTTTTTTTGACAAATTCTGTAATGTTTTGCCTTTGTTTCTTTACAATAAATTTACCACAAATATAACAGAATATGTTTGGGTTATTTACACAACTTCTCGAAAAGAAAAAATAATGTTTAAGTGCAAGCACAAACAAATACTATCCAGAAATGACACATCATGCTACCCATTCATTGTTTATATACTCGTAGTGTGTTTCTCATAGGTGTAGAATGATCAATAAGACTCTCACATCATGATTGGTCTAGACTCTAGAGAAATCTATAGGCAGTGGTTGTCAACATTTTAAGCATAACAAAATGTGAACCAATTTCAATGGAAATGATTCACTTATGTAAAAGTACATATGACGTTTTGTGAAAAATCTCTAATCAATTGAGAAAAATGGATATTTTTTTAGATTCAGTGTACAGGAATTACTGTAGAACATGTAAAAATTTCAAGACAATAAAACCATTGCAAGAATATGTAATTTACATGCACAAATTAGTTAAACCATGGGATTTGAGGAATGTGTGGGAATGAAAGGCTTGTGGCATGTGAAAAAATATTTGCACATAGAAGGCAGCACTGAACAATAATTGCTATGTACGCGAGCAGAAGTATGGTACCTTGTCAGAAACATATGTAAATATAAACTTAACTTCAAGAAAAAAACATTAAGCATTCCTAATGTAATACTCTATCCTTGATGGACAAAATAGGCTCATCTATTATCCAATGTAACTTTACACCTATAATACTAGATAACTTACTACTGAATACTGTATCCCAAAGCTCTGTAATGCCTTCTACGTTTCTATCATACATGCATCTTTTTATTATGAAGCAAATGTTATAAAAGTTTTAAATAATTCCTATGTCATCTACTAAGAGAAGTGATATTGAAATTAATTACAAAACAAGTAATACAAAATACCCTTCAAACAAAGTAAGGGAATAATATCCTTATTGCATTTATTAAATACTCAAGATTAATTTCTAAAATCACTAAAAATTATTAAACATAATTCTAGAATATTAATGACATATGTTTTTAGTTAAAACTTTTTTTCAGAAAGCAAATTAAAAAAATATTATAAGTATCATTCTTTTACTCCACCTATTTTATCTTTCCCCATCTGACAGTAACTCCCTCTGCCTTCATAGTTGTTCATCATCTCTAAGAGGTTAACTTCAATCTGAGCTTGATTAAGAAATGGCTTCTTGTTCTTGATAATTTTAATGGCCACATGACACTCTTCCTCAATATCATAAGCTTTAACCACCTACAAAACAGGAATACTTTAATTACTTAACTTACAGATATATCGTTGTGGTTTATTCATCATTCGCTTCTCAATTTGTGGATAAAATCAATGTACTTCATTTTGAACAATTTTACACTTCAATATCTTCATTGTAAACAAAAGAAAACTCCACATAAATAACTCAACATCATTAGAGATATCCAGAGTTGATATTCAGTGTAAACAAAAGAAAACTCCACATAAATAACATCATTAGAGATATCCAGAGTTGATATTCAGTGTAAACAAAAGAAAACTCCACATAAATAACATCATTAGAGATATCCAGAGTTGATATTCAGTGTAAACAAAAGAAAACTCCACATAAATAACTCAACATCATTAGAGATATCCAGAGTTGATATTCTTAAGGGTCATCAAGAGGGGGGGCTGTTAATAATATTGTATGTAAACTAACTGCCCTCTATGTGTTAGGTGTGCCTATGATTCATAAAGTCTAAAAGCTGACATATTCATGCATACTACTAACAGGCACATTGAAGTCAAAATAACACAGAACAGAACAACAAAGTTTTAAACAAATGAGAACATAGACTCATCCAATTACATAACACAAAATAAAATAGTAAATTCTTATCTACAATAAACATATGGACTCAGTAAAATTACTTCTTTTATGATTTGTTTAGATCAAAAGTATTCATAAGACACTAATAACATTTTAAACAATTTATTTTTCAAGTGTATCCTTTAAGAAAGAAAGCAGGAATAATAATGTGAAGATTATATTTTCACAGTACTTAAGATTTACTTTTGTGGATATCATTTAAAGAGTATCACACATTTTACCAGCCAAGGATTACAAGTCATCAGCTTAAACTGTCCTGTTTATCTGGCCAAGTGGTCTTTTCCAGTAAAACAATCAATTTCATAATTAAATATTAGAAATCACCAGGTAAAGCTGACATGTTTAGTAATCAAAATACTCACCTGACCAAATGAACCTTTTCCAATAAGGCAATCAATTTCATAGCGATCCACAACTTTCTCTCCATGAGTAATAATATAATCATGGTTTTCATCATCATATCCATCATTGCACAGCTTACGCTCCTTTTTGTGGCTAGTATCCTGACCTTGTATTTGCTGTGCTCGTCTTTTTTTCTTCGCATAGTAGACCTGTAAAAAATCCATAATAATTAATTCGTTAATGCAAAATGCATTAGTAACATAATATAATTCTGGTTAATTTAAAGTTAAAAATATGCAAGGTTAGGGAAATGCTGCATGTGCATTCCATACAAATACCAATAAAACTATTAGTGCTATTATATGAGATGCTATTTTACAGCTCAAGAAATATTTGGAATTTGTAAAAAAGGATAAAACAACTTATAGATCAAAAATTTTATTTGATGGAAACAATATTCTAAAAAAACAGCAATTTGTAAAAAAAGAATGAAACAATATAGATCACAAATTTTATTTGATGGAAGCAATAATTCTAAAAAATAGCAATTTGTAAAAAAGGATAAAACAACTTATAGATCACAAATTTTATTTGATGGAAGCAATATTCTAAAAAAAACAGCAATTTGTAAAATAGGATAAAATAACTTATAGATCACAAATTTTATTTGATGGAAGCAATATTCTAAAAAACAACAGCTCTTTACAGAGCCTAACTTCTCTCATTTTCTATTGGCTCAGCAGTATGTCTGAAGGCTTATGATGCTAAAAATCAGTGTTTCAATACCTGTGGTTGGCACAGCACAGATAGCCCATTGAGTAGCTTCTGCTTAACGACAAAAAAAGTTCTAAGAAATCATTATAATATTCTTATGTCAGTGTCAATATAATTTACGACTTTATTAACAATCACACCTATTTCTTTAGAAAATATAAACCAGCATGTTTACAGTCTGGCAAGCATTTCCATATATAACAAAAAAAAGAAGGTTAAAAAAACAAGAGTGTGGATTTCAAGAATAAATAGATAAAATACAATTCTAAATAAACTGGCATTTAAATGCAAGCATTTTATACAATCTACTATAACTAATGCACTTTCTATGACTTCATTTAATGACAATGATTTACTCATGTACAGAGGGTTTTAACCATAAATCATTATATACTAGAATGATCAAAACAAAATTTTTTAGATAATTTACAAAAGGTATATAATGCACTGTACCTCTCAAACAGCTTCGTGAATTAGCATGAAGTTTGAAATTATAGTTTAACACATTTTATAAGTTATTGAAAAATGTTTTGGGATAGAAGGTGCTACAGATGAAAATAGCTATAACTGTGCAAATTGCCATGATGTTTGAAATCCCAATATAAACACATATGTATTCAACATGTTGACCAATCAATACATTCTAGTGTACTTATGCTTCCCACAGAGGCCACATTTATGCAATTTTCAAACAAATCTGTTCAATTGAAACTCTGTACCCTATATACTCCAACCTGTGACATTATCCATATTTACTGGTTGAAACATATATATACTCCTAACCATGACATTATGCATATTTACTGGTTGAAACATATATATACCCCTAACCATGACATTATGCATATTTACTGGTTGAAACTCTGCAACATATATACCCCTACCTATGTATGACATTATGCATATTTACTGGTTGAAACTTGCAACCTTTATACCCCTACCTATGACATTAAGCATATTTACTGGTTGAAACTCTGCAACCTTTATACCCCTACCTATGTATGACATTATGCATATTTACTGGTTGAAACTTGCAACCTTTATACCCCTACCTATGACATTAAGCATATTTACTGGTTGAAACTCTGCAACCTTTATACCCCTACCTATGACATTATGCATATTTACTGGTTGAAACTTGCAACCTTTATAACCCTACCTATGACATTATGCATATTTACTGGTTGAAACTTGCAACCTTTATACCCCTACCTATGACATTAAGCATATTTACTGGTTGAAACTCTGCAACCTTTATACCCCTACCTATGACATTATGCATATTTACTGGTTGAAACTCTGCAACATATATACCCATACCTATGACATTATGCATAATTAGTGGTTGAAACTTTGTAACATATATACCCATACCTATGTCATTATGCATATTTACTGGTTGAAACTCTGCAACCTTTATACCCCTACCTATGACATTATGCATATTTACTGGTTGAAACTCTGCAACATATATACCCATACCTGTGGCATTATGCATATTTACTGGTTGAAACTCTGCAACCTTTATACCCCTACCTATGACATTATGCATATTTACTGGTTGAAACTCTGCAACATATATACCC